TATCTCATGTTTCTGAAGTATTCCAAAGAGAGATTCTACATGGAATTAGGCTTTGAGCACAGGAGAAAAATGTAGGCCGACCTTCCTTCCTTCCTTCCTTCCTTCCTTTCCTTCCTTCCTTCCTTCCTTCCTTCCCTCCCTCCCTCCCTCCCTCCCTCTCTCTCTCTCTCTTTCTTTTTTTGCTAGTCCTGGGGCTTGAACTCAGGGCCTGGGCACTCTTATCACTTGAACCAGAGCACCACTTCCAGCTTTTCCTGTTTATATGGTACTGAGGAATCTAACCCAGGGCTTCATGCATGCTAGGCAAACACTCTACCACTAAGCCACATTCCCAGCCAAAAAATGTACCTTTCTAACTACATTTTCAATATATTATTTTACCTGTCCCCATTGATGGGTATTTTACTTTCTTTGTGGTGCTAGGGATTGAACCCACATAGTAGGCAAATATTGTAGTGTACATGCCACATAGCCATACCCCAAATCACTGAGCTATGTACCATACTACAATTCTGTCTTTAAACCATATTAGTCTTGATGCCTTCTCTTAAAGCAGTATTTAATCATTGAGATTAACTGACAATTTTTTTGATCTCCTTAGCCTTCTAGGATATAGATTGGAACAACATTTTTAGGCCTTTGAGTCACCTTTGAGTCTCTTAATCCTTTGTGGGAAGGAATTTTACTATTAACTTTCAGATCGGTTTTCATACATTTTGCCTTTCATTATGAGCAAAAGACAATGCTTCCTGAGTTTAAGTGGAGAACAGACATTGAAATTGGTTACTTCATTTTTCAGATGCCAAACTTTTCTGTCCTAATAAATTCTATAAAAGAATTATAAGTCATGTCTCATAAGGGTACCTAATGAGCATATCAATTACAATTTTAAGAAACATCCTTTCATTAATTTATAATGATCATTGGCATAGTGTCTCTCATCTGGACACCCAAGTATCTTTGGAAAAATCATTTTCTTTTTCTTTTTCTTTTTCTTTTTGGGTCCGGTCGTGGGGCCTGAACTCTGGGCTTGGGCGCTGTCCCTCAGCTCTAGGCTAGTGCTCTACCACTTGAGCCACAGCGCCACTTCCAGCTTTTTTATTTTTACTTATGTGGTGCTGAGGAATCGAACTCAGGGCCTCAGGCATGCAAGGCAAGCGCCCTACCACTGAGCCACCTTCCCAGCCCAGAAAAATCATTTTCATTGCAATGCTCAATGGCACTCCAGTTTGGTTTCCTTCTCTTATAATCCATTAAGCACCTGATAATGAATATTCTTAAGTACTTTTCAGTTTAAAAAGACTGGTGCATACATCTCCTGTTGATGATGCCCAAAGTATATCCAAAGACAATGAGGTCACATGCTTTCATTACTTCTTTTTCAATTTAAACGTTAGCCATATTAGCTTCATACAACTATTTTTCTGAAACTATGGGATAAAGGAAGATATTTCTTCCACTAGACTATCCTGCCTTGTGTTTTGTTTTAAATTTGTATGTTTTTCATAAAAATTAAGCAGTGACTAGTCAGGCATCTTTGGTTTATGCCTGTAATTGTAACTATTCAAGAGACTGAGAACTAGAAGATACTGGTTCAAAGCCAGCCATGCAGAAAAGACTTCAAGACTCCATCCCCAGTTAACCAGCAAAATGCTAGGCTTGAGTCATGCCTGAAGTGGTAGAATGCCAACCATGAACAAAAAAGCCGAGTGAATGTGTGAGACTGAGTTTAAACCTTTATATAAGCATATATAGTGCCTGCGCATGCACATGCACACATGCATACACACAAGTTAAGCTTTGAAATGAAAGTGAAACCTCAAAAATTTCATCGTTCAGAGAAAATAGTCATCCTTATAGATGGGTCTCTGTACATGCACCTACCTCAATGTTCAATTCATATTTTTATGGACTGACCTATAGATGAAGTAAGTGTGTTTGGAACCTGAAGCTACATCTGCAGGTCAGCACTAGAGAGCATTGAAACTCAACTGGGTATGTCTTGGGCCCTATCTAGAACCTTCATCCAGCTCACTTATTGGCAATAAATAATTAATTTATAAGAGCCTGTTTCATGCTACTTAATGAAATAATGGCTTCTATAGAAATCATCTTGTTTAATCGTTACAAAGAACTCTGGGAGTGGTATGCCACTATACTATGCCTCAGAGGAAGAAATGACTCATCTATGTAAAGAATCTATATAGTTAGTACTTGCCCAGTTAGAATTCTCCCTTCAAAGGCCATAGTTTTATGTTGGTATAGACACTGTGGTATTTCTTACTAAATGAACTTGTGTAAATAAAAGATTTTTATTTTTAAAAGTCTGTATACATATGCACACACATATATACCTTTATATATGATATATACTATTATGTCAATATATAGTATATATATTATATATATATATATATATGAGTAAACATGTTCCTGTTAATGCATTTGTACTGCCAGAAAGCTTTTTTAAAAAATTAAGAGCAAAGGAAATATTAAATCAATGAATAGAATACTTTCACTGAGGAATCTGAAAGTTCTATCAATATGACCAGTGATCAAATCACAAGTAACCTGGTGATAAAGTTCATTCTTCTGATTAAAGTAGTTTTTATATTTAGAAGAAGAAAATTGATTATATGATGAAATTAATAAACTCTTTTAACGGCCTGTGTCAAAAGCAGAAAATCTCACTTTCCATACCTAAACAACTTAGAGCTTTTGAAATGACTTGTAGATGAAAACAGTTTGACACCAAACATCCTGTAATGCAAGAGACACCTGTAGAGAAGGTGCCATTCAAAGGGTCATTGCCCCTTTGGGAAGCACTCTTCAGTGGGTCGTTTCCTTTCAAACTCCATTGCAGTGGAAATACTAAGAAATAGTCTTTAGGCAATTTCATTGCATGAACATCATAGAATGTGCTTACAAATTAAAGTGGCTATGATGTCACAAAATGTTATAATCTTACAGGACCACCTATATGGTCCATCGTTATATAGTATATGGCTGTATGTCCCCTAAAAGTTCTGAGAACAAGAACTGTGAACTTTGTCTAATATTTTCTTTTTGTGCTGGTCCTGGGGCTTGAACTCTGAGCTTGGGTGCAGTCCCTGAGCTTTTTTTGCTCAAGACTAACACTACCACTTGAGCCACAGCTCCACTTCTGGCTTTCTTGGTATTTAATTGCAGATAAGCATCTCCTGGGCTTTCCTTCTCAGTTTGGCTTTGAACCATGATCCTCAAATCTCCGCATCCTGAGTAGGTAGCTAGGATTACATGTGTGAACCACAGAGCCCTGCTTTTTTTTTCTTTTGAAGCACAATCTTATATGTACACCTAGGGCTCACTATTGAATGGTAAGCATATATTTATGCTTATTTTTCAAGCTGCTGAAACATTTTCTTAATCTCGTCAAAGTGTAGTGATCAAAAATATTATCTAACTGCAAAGATATTCTTCTGACTCTTATATCCACAGATCATCCCATTCCTTGTTAGCTATGAGGGATTTTCATATGTTTAATTTTCATTAGTTGAAGTTTTAGATACTTATAATGAGTCAAAAGCTATTATAAGATTTGCTAAAAATAAACCAAAGTTCCCCAACCACTAAGTCACTGCATTCAAACAGAGCTGAAGCCGGGCACCGGTGGCTCACGCCTGTAAACCTAGCTACTCAGGAAGCTGAGATCTGAGGATCACAGTTTAAAGCCAAGCCCTGGCAGGAAAGTCCAAAACCACTAGAAAATCAGAAGTGGTGCTGTGGCTCAAGAGGTAGAGCGCTTGCCTTGAGTTGAAGAGCACAGGGACAGCACCCAGGCCCAGAGTTCAAGCCCCACAACCATGAACACTGCTTTTTTTTTTTTTTTTAAGTCAATCTTGGGTCTTGAACTCTGGGCCTGGGTGCTGTCTCTGAGCTCTTCACCTTGAGACAAGTGCTGTACCACTTGAGCCACAGTACCACTTCCGGTTTTCTGGTGGTTAATTGGAGATGAGTCTCATTGAATTTCCTGCCTGGGCTGGCCTTGAATTGCAATCCTCAGATCTCAGCCTCCTGAGTAGCTAGGATTTACAGGCATGAGCCACCAGCGCCTAGCCTATGAACACTTCTTTTAGCAAGATATATAAACAAACATGTTTACCAGGTACTTCTAGAAATCCAGCAAGACACAAACTACACTAACTTCTTATACCATAATGCCAAACAGATAAACATGGTGGCAGTAATTAATAGAATGCAGAAACCAGCATGTTTTAGAGTGTAAACTGTCAAGCATTTTGTATAACTTGTACTTTGTGCTTATGTATAGTAAGAAAATTCAAATGATAAACTTTTGTACAAGCTTTCACTTAGGATGTATATAAACAATTCAATTACATTGGTAGTATGGTTACATTTCTGTGTAGTGGCTTTATTTATATTTTTCTTTCTAAAAATAGTTTTCCATTTTCCTGATTTATTACTGTAATAGTTCTTTTTTATTACTTTTATGTATAGGTATTTCTGTTACTAGAGTGTGTGTGCACACGCATATTTGGATGGCTGTGAGAAAATGGTTTTATGTCAAGTCTTTAAAACCTATAGAGGATATTATGTCATTGTGGCTTTTAAATGCTAAGTAAGTTAATTGTGCATAGTTGGAAGGTCAGGCCACAATTATTTTAAAATCTGTACCCTGTTTCTAATTATAATACTCCACCTATATTTATATACCATTAAATACTTAGCAGTGTATTCAAAACATTTATAGTGTCACAGCAGTTGACTGAAACAGTAAATTGAGATATTGTGATCCTGCTTTAGAATTGAGTTTAGCCCAGTGAATGGGACATAGATTTTTGGTTTGCTTTGTGAAAGATCCAGTTTGGAGATAACAGTGACTAATATTAGTAAGAAGCTTTTTCCCCCATAACAAACAGGACTGATTACCCTATCTGTTTGAGAATATTTCATGTATTTAGTACGCTTACTAACCTAACTTTCTTTTTCTTATAGCAAAACTGTACAATCTAAAGTGGACTGCATCTTGGTAAGTGAAATACCTAAATTTTTTTTTAATGTAGTAAGGCTTTTTACCCCTGGATAAAAATCCCCTTCTTAGAAATGCTGACTCAAAATAATATGGCATTTAGGTGTATAACCCTGTTGGATGAATTAGTTCTAAGCTACTTGCATTATTTTCCTGTATCTCATCAATAAAGAAATCAGTTTGAGGTAATTACATAGTTGTGAATCTTACTGTCCTTTACTGAAAGATTACATAAAGTACTTACTCAAACTGGCTATTTATTTTCCTATCTACCAATTCTGTGAGAATGTGTTTAATGAAAAGATTTTAGATATATGATAGATTACTTGTGTTACAGCAATTTTTTTGTGATTTGCTTGCTGGGCTGTAGGAGTTAAGCCACAGTGGTGGTTTAAATTTAAGTTATTCTTAGGGAACTCTATGAAATTTTGCTTAGAGAAAAGCCTTTAACAGACTTCATGTGTGAGACTTTTTTTTTTAAACTATAATATACTTTTCATCTTTAGGCTTCAACTGTAAGGTTTTAAGGCACATACATAGTTTAAATATAGATGGTATTTGTGATTCCTGAGGTGGTCTCTAACCATTGGGGAGGAAGCCAGTTGCACTGACACTGACTTCTCTCAGAGAGTCTCTCTGGCTGCACCCCAGGCCTTAGAGCACTCAGTGGTGTTGCACCATTCCATTACCAGGTGTTGGCAGGTGTCATAATTCTTTTTCTTTACTTGTGATTTCACAACTTTTTCTTATCCTAGTTTGAGACCTATAGGCTAACTTGACTTTGTTTTTTTTGTGTTTTTTTAAAATTTTTTGTTTTTGGGTCCGGTCGTGGGGCCTGAACTCTGGGCCTGGGTGCTGTCCCTCAGCTCTACCACTTGAGCCACAGCGCCACTTCCAGCTTTTTTCTTTTTGCTTATGTGGT